CTTGATAAGTTATAAATTATTATTATTTTCATGTCTTACCCCACCTGCTGTCTCACTTCACCCACATTACTGTTGTTAGTCCCTCTGGAGAAGGGGGTGGAGTTATACGTCAATCATTGTAGTTGGTTCCCCATTTCTGCCCTTCCCCCACCTACTTTTCCCCCACTCTCATGGTATTGCTACTCCCATTACTGTTCCTGAGGGCTTTACCTGTCCTGGATTCCTTGTGTTGAAAGCTCTCACCTGTACCGATGTACATCTCCTGTCTAGCCAGATTTGTAAGGTAGAACTGGGTTCAGCATAGTGTGGCGAGGAAGCATTAAAGAACTAGAGGAATGTTGTGTGTTCCATCGGTGCTATGCTGCACACTGTCTGACTCGTTCCTTTCTTGTGATTCTTATCTTAATTTTTTAAAAGGGAACATGGGAATTACATAATTATATTTGTTAAAAAATTTTGCTCCCATAAGGATTTGCAATCTTAGAAACCAAAGTATAGGGTCATCGTGAGTCAGAATTCACTCAGTAGCCATGTTTTTTTGTTTTTAGGGTATTCTAGAATAAGTTCATAATCTATAGCCTCTGAAAATACTACACTCATATAAAGTGGTAATTTGGATGTCAGATTTCTTAGTGTTTATGTAGTGGGTTATTTTATTTTGTATTTGTTGTATGTATGAGGGTATTTCAAAAGTTCATGGAAAAATTTTATCTCATAATTCCATTTTTCTTTGAACTGTGTAAAGTCTTCTCATATGTGTGCTATTTTTGATGTTATCCTTCTCATAGCAGTTATTTAAGATATAATTATAAAGCTTTAGGAAAAAATCTGAAGTACTGACTGAATTCTATAGCCTTGATTTACGACTCTCCCTAAGGTAAAAATTGATATATCAATCTTCCAATATTTAATAGCTTAGTTCTTGAAAAAAATTGCTTATGCTATTTATTGACCCAGTGATTAATACTACTTAAGCTGAGTTTTTCCAAAAAACCCACTATGATGTGGTTTATTTCATAATTCCAATAATTATTTTTAATGATTTGATTTGTCCCATACATCTTTCTTTATCTAAGCTGTGCAGCATTCCCTTGTTCTTGTCAAACCATTTATGTCAGTGTATAGGTTCCCCAGGAGCAGTTAGGAGTTGGGGATTCTTTTTCTCACAATGTTATCTATAATTGTTATGATCTATACAGTTAAATGATTTTGTATATTAATTTAAACTCTTAAATGTAAAATATCAAAATTCTTTTGATTTTTCAATGAAATGAAAACTTAATATTTGACTGTAAAGTTATTTAACATTAACAGTTTTAGCAAAAGTTGTCAATTTCTCATACTTGAAATGCAGTTTACGTGCTATTCAAAGTAATAAAGATCCTATCTTCTAAATAATGACCGTTCTCAAATTATTATTCCAAACAACCCTCTAGATGATATATTTAGATTGTACTTTTTTACTCAATGCTGTGTTAAGAATGTTTCAGAATCATTTTAAAACTCTTTAAAATAGACTCAGTTAATATTTTTCTATCGGTTTCTCTTCAACAATTAGGGAGAAACATTTATTCAAAATCTACTCAGCATACCATTTGGCTTGTCAACTTATCTTTTGATGAATAAGTGTAGACAGAACAAAGAAATTAAGCAAATTGAGAAATCAAGGTTGTAATATAACCTGTCCAAAACAGTCAATAAAATATTTTGTATCTAGTCCTTCTCCTATTTAAAAGTAATCATATCAAGGAACATCCTTAGCCTCTCAAATATTGGCTTAGTTGATTTTGTTGCTTTAAATATGGAGCTTCATTTTATAAATGTGTCTTGGTCATATGAGGTTACCTTACATTTTGTGTTTGGTTCTATGAATTCTGTATTGGAACCCCTTTGAAATCTCAGTTGTGATTCTGTTTTTTCAGACAAAACCTTTTTATTCAAAATAGATCACAAGGTTTTTTTTTAATCCTTTACTATTTAGAATATTATTTTTCTTGGTCAATTGTTTCATGTGTTATTTTAAAATTCCTTCAAATATAAGGCGCTCACTTACTCAAATAGAGTGTGTTTATCCAAACACACTCTAACATTTGTTTGTATTAAATAGAAAAGAAGTATTTGTTTACATGATCTATGGATGATTTATACTTTAAACTAGGAGTAATTCTTTTCATGCTGACATGTTGATAGTGAGCCCCTGCTTGGGGCTGAATATGGCTCTAGCTTCCTGAATTTCCATCTGGGTGGTGGTACAAGGGATAATATGAATGAGAGACCTAAGTACTGACCTCAAAAATAGTTCATCATTTTTCCTACCGTTGCCCTGAAATAGTGCTAACCAGAGTAGTGGAGACCACAGCAGGCCACTTGTTACTGTTGACTTACATACAAACAGTGGTGAACGTGTCTAGCCCCAGGGGAAGTTTTGTGATTGAACAAGACCGTTGGAGTTATTTTGGTAAGGGAGAATAGTAAAATGGCCTAAACTATGATCATCACTGACTTCTGAAGCAGGCCAAAGATAAGGGGCTCAAGTGTCTGTCCTTCCTGGTGAACAAAAGGTCAAGTCAGCTTGGGGAAAAAAGAAACTCAGTATTTTGGTCAATTTGCAACAAAATGGTGAAACAGGATTTTCCTGTCTGTTTTAGGACTTGGCATGAGGAGGTATGGGAAAATAGTTCAGCATCTCTGATCTGGCCTTGATTTTTACTCTAGATTTGGAAACAACAGAAAATTAATGCTTAAACATATTTAATAATGCCTTCCCAAATGCTGTAAGTCCAAAAGGAAAATTGAAACTGTATGAAAGAGAGCATGATTTTTTTCCCTCAAGAATGTTTATATATTAAATCTGAAGCCGTAGTTTTCTTAGAATTCCTATGGACTACACTAAGTAGCGTTAAAAATGAAGATCTAGACTTGCTGATTTGAGGTCTTGCTTTCTGGGCAGTTTTTCATTCTCAGTGTTGTGATATCCTTGTGTCTGTTTGGGGTGCGTTAAATTTATGCATGTTTCTGCGTTGTTACTTTGACAGCTTACCAAAACCCTGTTCTGTTTTTCATGGCTTCTCAAGTTCTAGGAATGTCATTTACAGTAGATGGGGGACCACTCCCCGCCATACCCACATACTCCCCACACAACACCCCAACTCATCTCCATCTCAGAAAATATTTTATATGTAAACCCCACAACATTGAGGTGTGCCCTGTTCAGAACAAAAAATGACTACCTTGTCTTGAAATTTAAATCTGTAATTTTCTGCCACAGTAAATCCTAGGACAGGAGAAAGACAGGGCTTTCCACTCCCATAAAGAGTTACAGGCCTCAGAAACGACAGTTGTGCCCAGTCCTATGGGGTCGCTATGAGTGGATTTTGACAAGATGGCAGGGAGTGAAATCATAGAACACTGTTGCTTTAATACACTTGCCTGTTCTCATTTGCTCCTTTTCTGGAGATTAAGGAAAATTGAGTTTTCTTATGAATGAAAGATATGAAACATTGAAGTCAAAGTAGCTTCATATGAAAACCCTCTACCCCATGGCTGTCGAGTCAGTTCTTCTCATATTGGATCAGCATCTTCCCATGTGTAGAGATGCTGAACTGTCTGGTAGTAGCCCAACACGTAACCCACTATACACCAGGGCTCCATTGTAAAAACCATTTTGCAGAGTAGACAAGAGCCGGGAGAGGTTGGTTCAGACACTTACCTAGAATCACTTGTCCACTCTCTTATGTGCTGATCGCCTCTGCCTTACAACCTGCCAGACTAAGGATACCTATATATAACTAATGCATGTATGTATATAATAATGTATATATTAATATATGTATATTGAAGTAGTGATTATAATAATGACTATATGTACATTTCTTTTCATCAAACATTCTATGGTGAGTGTATTTTATAGCATGTTTTCCAGAGTGTCAGTTTTAAGTTCCCAAGTTTTGTTTGTAGATGTTAAATGGCAGCAATGTTTGGGATTTTTAAAACTCAAAATACTTGGTAGTTACTTAAAAAACAAGAGAGAATACATCAATGAATCATTTCCATTTCCTGCTTTTAAATCTGGAGGTATACAATCCAAACCAGGGCTTGTTTTCTTTGGGGGCCACTAAGGTCCTAAAAAGACCTGATATTAAAAGCTTTGGCAAGCAAATGCATTAGGTCTAAATTTAGAACCTTGTGCATGCATATCCTGAGTTCGGCAAGCTTGCCTTCCAATTAAGAAATACTTAACCATATAAAACATTAAAAAGTTATTGCCAAATCTAATAATTTTTGTGCTATCTCCTTATTTTGAATGTAATGGGCATGGTGACTACTTTGCTGCTTTTAAAACTTAAGGACTCTAAAACCCAACTCACTGCCATCAAGTCAATGAAGCTGACTCATAGCAACTCTGTAGCACAGGGTAGCACTGCCCCTGTGAGTTTCTAGATTGTAACTGTTTATGGGAGCAAAAGGACCTTCTTTCTCCATCAGAGCTGCTGGTAGTTTTGAACTGCTGACCTTGCGAATCATAGCCCAACTCATAACCACTATGCCACTAGGGCTCCTCTGTAAATACCTTAAGCTTTGTGTGTGTGTGTGTGTGTGTGTGTGTGTGTGTTCCTAGAACCTGTGGCAGCTATTCAGCTCTCTTGAAAACAGGCATGAATAATACGTAAAAGGATGGGTGTGACTGTGACAGTACAACTTGAGGCATACATGCAGAGCTGGATTTGTCTCTGGGCTGTAGCTTACAGGCCCTGCGGGATACGGGAATGCTCGTTGTGATTCCAAGTTGTACTGGACCCTTTGGTACTTTAGAGAACACTAGAATGACATGCATGCACACCTCAACTGTAAGACCATTTGATTAATATATGTTTATATTGATCAGCCATAGTTAATGTGGGAACATGACAAGTAATTGTTGCAAGTGTTAACACCCCACCCCCATTTATATTTACTTAAGTGACGAAGTGCTTTGTTGTTGCTTTGTTTCCTTACCCCAGGGAGATTCTGCGCAAGCAGGTGATGACTCTCCATTCTCAGATTCTGTCACCTTGGAACAGACTACAAGTAACATTGGTGGAGCCAGTGGGCGTGTTAGTTTATGGATGCAGTGGGTGCTCCCCAAAATTACCGTCAAGCTCTTTGCTCCTGATCCTGAACACAAGAGCACAGGTACAGGGCTTCTTTCCTTCCTAACTGAGGAGCTCCAGGATTAAACCTATTTCTAGAGCAAGTATTAGATTTTCCTTTATTTGTCATTATCATTAATAATGATGCACCATCAGATCTAATTCAAGCAGTACTTATTAGAAATACTACTATGTTGAGTCTTTCCAATATATGTTTCTCTGTTCAGATGCTCTTTGAGTTTGTGGTAGCTCAATTTTTTGCCCTGTTTGTGTTGAATTTCACTCTAAAGGCTATGAGGTTATTCTTTGCAGACTATCGCGTTGATGCATTATATCATTGTCCCTGCTTGTATCGCAGTGCTCCTCCACCGGCATCAGTGTCCAGGACCTCAGGCATAGAGTGGAATTATCCCTGTCTTGAAATAGGTGTCCTTCCTTTATTATGAAAGTTGTATTGCGCTTATTATAGCAGAAGCGTGTATGGTTAGCAAACAGTTCTTGGTGTGTCCATTGATGTCCAGGATGTATATGTAAGAGTAACATGTAAAAAAATGTTTTATTGATCGTCAGGCTTGTATGGATATTAATGTTGGCTTCTTACTGCAGAAGTTTGTATGGTCAGTGAACTAGAAGATCTCAGCGCTTCTGTAGATGTCCAGGATGTATACACCAAGGTGAAATGTAAAATAGAAAGCTTCAATATTGATCACTACCGAAGCAGGTAAATTATAAATAACGAATATGGTCAAAGCTAATTTTTTTGAAGAGTCTTAAGAATTTTTTAAAATTTCAATTAAATTAATTAAACATGATATACACACTTTCTCTGAAAGATGATTTTTAAAAAGATAAATTGACTAAATATATTTATTTGTCACTTATCTATATGCTACAAGAAGTTTTATATTTTACCCTAATAAAATCTGTTAATCAGTCTCTCCACTGTTATCTTAAATCAAATAAGCTACTTTTTAATATCAGTGACAGAATTTAGAGTGTATGGCATATTTTTGTTACACAGTTAGTGGCTCTTATTTTAGCTGCACTTCCTTGTCTACTCAATTTCTGTTCCTTAGCACTCTGAAGACTCTTTATTTTCTTATAAATATACATGTGGCTGATGTTCCTGGAGCCATTCTTCCTTAATCAATGTCTAAGAAAAGTATGATTATAGACAGATGTCAGGTAATTGCAATAATAAATAATGTTAGCAGCCATATTACATTTAAATATTCTCACAAAGCCCTATCACAGTTTGCTATTAATTTTTCCCCAATGGGAAAAATCATTTGGAGTTGAGATATAATCAACATACCATAAAATTTGCAATGCTTTCCTTAAATTTATTTTTTGTAAAGCATGGTATTTTAAATTGTATATTATTTTGGCATAGAAATAGACTTAAAATCCATTTGTTTCATGATTTATGGTATTTATTCATCCAATAATTATTTATTGAGTAACTTCAAAAACGTGTTTTTCTCTATTACATATATATATATCAATCACATGTCCTGAAACCATTTTTATATGATAAGTTTCTAATTCTAGATTAATGGTATTTCTATTTTTTATATTATCATATTGTTTATGTTATTAAAAACCACATCTGTCACAGCTGAAAAAATCGTGCCATAAGTGTGAAGTACAAAATATTTTTATGGATACATACTAAGATATGTTCTAAAGTATTATTTTACCAAGCACGTATAAGAATTGTTTTTGTTGCATGCACTAATTGCCTGTGATGACTTGGCTTTAAAGTGCATTTATGAGCTTTTTAGATATTTTCTAATGATATGTATATATACCAAAAGAATCCTTGTAAGTGATTTATCTAGATTATATTATAGTTGAAATAATTTCTTTATGATTTATATGATTCATATTAGTGTGATTTCTATTTTAGCTTACTGTTGATTTTTATGGCTAAATTTATATAAATTTTAAACATCTAGATAAGTTTACTTTCATATCCGTTTAATAAATGTTTACTGAATATTTATCATGAGCCAAGCCCTCTGCTAAGCATTGCAATATAATGTGGAGCAAAATTAGAATAAGAGCTAAATAACCAAATAAGTGTACATTTTACCATGAGGACAAATGCTTCTCTTCAGAACATCCAGGGTATAGTGTTAATGTCAATTGTTTTACTGATTACGTTGATAGACACACCTTATAGTGCTCATAACTATTTGCAAAAGTTATATGTACTCAATTTTTTAACTCAGAAAAATTGAAAAGAACAGATAAGGTGAACTTATGTCTTCTAGGCCAGGGGAAGGTTGGCAGTCAGGACATTTTGAAGGAGTATTTCTACAGTGCAAAGAAAAACCCGTGGTGAGAATCATTTAGTAATTACAATTTCTAAAAAATCTATTATACAACTGTTTCTCTTTGTTGTTTCATGTAATAGGACTTATGGTTACAGAAATTAGAGCTCAGAGTAAATTCTTTTTGACCTTTCTTCCAAAATTACCCTGCTTCAAAACTATTTCTCCAAATTGCTCACTTTTGTAACCATATTCCTGTTACACAAATTAAACAAATATCAAAAAGTAAAGGTAAGATTGCTTTTATTAGTGAACAGTATCATTAATGTACTATTTTGTTGTTTTTGAAAATTGTTTCCATTTCATCACTGAGTTTATGCTGACTTTTTATTTACCATGAGCTAAACATGCTGATTTTACACTAAGAAGTAATTATTTTTCATTTATTTCCATTAACATTGGTTTTGCAGAGGATCAGCCAGACAGAGGCTATACCCTAGCAGTGGGTCAGACTAAACCTATGCAAAATTAAGCAAAATTAAAAGCTATCCAGATTTGTTTGTTTTGTTTTGCATATGGCTTTTATTGCTTTTTATCTTTTCAACCTTTTTTTGTTTGCTCCTGTCCATCACTTCAATCCTTGGGGAAGAGTGTTGGTCTTGGGGGCAAAGTGGAGGTGTCTTCCTTTCCTGTACTGACAAGCTGAACAGATGCACCTTGTTGGTTTGACCCATCAGCAAGCAGGACCCTTTCAGTAATTGTTCTGGCTTCTTTCCTCCTGTGAGAAATCATTTTTCAATTATGCCACTGAGCTTCCATTAACAAGAACTCAGAGGAGGACACTGAACTCTCCCACAGAGGCAGTTCTGGATTCTCTTTGTCTTCTGTATCGTCGACTTTGTAAATTAGCTAGAATACATTTTTTGGGTCACTTGTGTCTGCTTCATCACTTGGTTTTTGTAAATGTGAGTTTTCACATGTATAACCAAGTCATTTTAACCATAACAAAATCAAATTAGGACAATTAAATACATCTTTTTTTGTACTGTGCATTTATTGAGTGGTCAAGAGTTACTTGACAGTAGTGCTTTTATTTATTTATTTATTTGAGGAGTCTTGTTTTTTGTTATTTTCTTCTATTATTACACTATCCCCTTCCCACAACTAACTCAAAGTACCCTATTTGATACTCTCTGGGATCCAGGCATGTCTGGGCTTCTGCCACTGGTCTTGTCAGGAAATGGTAGCCTGTGGAAACCAGTACTTGACAAAAGCTAAACATTGTTCATTCTGATTTTTCTAATGACACAGCATCTCTGAATATATTGTTAAGCTAATTCTTTTAATTGATGCTCTCAAAACCTTTAATAGACAAGTAACTGTTTTACATGAAGAGCTTTGGTAATCACTCTTACAAATGTATTCAATCATTACCAAGATTATTACATATTCTCTTAGCAGATGTGATATTTGTTTCTATTCCTTCTTTTGAAGTTGAGTGGGAATTTAGGACATGTCATTCCTCACCTCACTGCTCTGGAGTCGATGCCAACTCACAGCCACCTACGGGGCAGACTGGGATGGCCCTGCGGCTTCCCGACACCGTGAACCCTTATGGGGGTACAAAGCCACCTCTTTCTCATGCATAGCGGCTGATTGTTTCAAACTGAAGAGATTTTAAATGATTGTGTTTCTAGATTTGTTTTATGCATGGCAAATGCCATTTCTGATTTGATTTTGAACATTTCCAATAATTGTCTCTCAGGAAACCTTGGTGGCACAGTGGGTTGTGTGTTGGGCTGCTAACCACAAGATCAACAGTTTGAGACCATTAGCTGCTCTTGAGGAGTTTTCCCTCAAAAGAATTACTGCCTTGGAAACTCACAAAGGCCATTCTCTTCTGCCCTGTAGGGTCACTATGAGTCGTAACTGGCTTGATGGCAGTGAGTTTTGATTTTGGATAACGCTGGAAACAACTGTCTGTATGTTTTTCATATCTGTTGGTCTGTGTAGATTTTATTTTCCCTGGTGAATGTTCATCAGGGCCCATAAGAAAAATGTTATATTTTAATTCCTATTCATCAGGAACACCAATTTTTAGTAACACCCTTAAAATTTTGTCCTTTATTATTAATTTTATATATGTTTATTAATATTTTTCTGTGGTTCCTAACTTAAACAGATTAAAGATTAATATTATTAATTGAAAAGCAATACTTATACTGCCTGAATTCCAGCTAGTACTTGTTTCTACTTTCATCTTTTACTTTTTCTTATATTGGGAGGATTAAGTAACTCATTTTTTAACTGTTTTAACTACTTTTGGACTTTGTATTTTATGAGTTTACATCACATATGTTTACAAATATTTTTTCCAAATCAAAGTAGTCATACTATTTTTGGGATTCAAAAGTTACCATTAGTTAACATATACTTTGCTAGGTTATTTAGTGTACCAAATTCTGACACCTCCCCAAAGTCCACTATAGACATCTATAGAAGCAAAGTTGCTGCCTGGCCCTGTCCCACGTATGCGCTCCCTCCCACCCCTACCCGCCCCCCACTGCCCACTGGGCCTGTAGTACAGCTACCATCTTTACCCACTGGAGCCTGCTTTCTTGCAACATGCTGAGAGTGGGGGCACTTGTTTTCCCTTACTGTGTGTTGTTTTTTTGTTTGAGCATGGGAATAAAAAAGAGGTATCAAAAGAGAAGTGATGAGAGAGTTGGACACCATTCAGTGCACTCTCAAAGCAGATTCTTCAAAAAAAGGCGTATACCACATGTTCCCATAAATGCCTTTCATTCCAACTTTATCATTTTTAATGGTCAAATAATGAATTAAGAAAAAAAACTTGTAGTGAAAAAATTTTATCTTGCCCTCTTCCATTGTAATTTTCTGATTAAAAACAAAATTAGCACTGATAAGTGATTTGAATACTTTTTTTTTCTCAAATAGAAAGGAAGAAATTGGAACTGAAAGAGGTTTACTAGTAATGAGATAACACTGGCTACTTCATATACTTTGGCCCCTTGTTTATATCAATATAATCCACTCTTTTGCTACATCTTTAATTTCAGTCCTCTCTGAACATCAATTCTTAGACCCTAATAGATTTTTTTTTAAAAACGTGTGTGTGTGTGTGTGTGTGTGTGTGTATCAAGATGTGGGTAGAGTGCTAGGAAACTATAATATTTTATAATAATTTTGGCTATACAGCATAAAGTGTTTTATATACATTTGATTGATTTATTCCTAACACTGTCTTATCTTTTAAAGAAATCAGAAGTATGAACTTTAGTCTTTAAAAATTGTCATTTTACTGTCATTTCTTTGTAGACTGCAACTGAAATATGAAAGTTCATTAAACTTTTTTCAGAATTATTTGTTTTAAGTAATTCATTATGTATATATTAATTTGCAGTGTTAGACTTGAGGAACATGAGTAGTAAAAGAGTTAGTAAAGTAGTAATCAAGGTTATGGCCACTGAAAATACGTCATTTCAGAAAGACAAATGTTTCCATTTCCAGTAAACATGCACTGATTGCTTTGATAACTGAGCTCAGGAACTCCATTGGGCTGCTGGCCGGAAGATGAGCAGTTCACTAGGCCCAGGCACAGTGGGGGAACGATGTGGCAGTCTACTAGTGAAAAGGTTTGCAGCTGGGGAAAGCCTGTGAGGACAGCTCTTCTCCATTCGGTGGGGTTGCTAAGAGTCAGATTGACACAGTGCTAGTGGATTGGATTTTTAGTTTATTTTCCTATAAAGAAGCCCAATTATAAGAGGAAAGCTCTGTTCTTATTGTAAGGTCCCATCTACCTCAGGCATACCTTGTCTATGCTGACCATAAATAAAACTACATAAAATGGGTTCATTTCAGGTTCACCTGAATAAATATAGCAACATATTAATAACCCTAATGAAAAAACAGCAAGAAAAAAAAAAAAAGAAAAAGCAAGAATTAAAACGTGAAAATTTAGAGGTGGTTGATAAGTTGTGACTATTACAGAAAGTGAAGAAACAGTTTGAACAGCCACAGAAAGTTAGACTCGAGTTCTAGAGCTGAGGATTCCCAAGTTTCCCCTTAAACCTAGTGATAGTCCTGATTGTGGTCATGCAGTGGTATAGAGTTAGTGAATCTCAATAAAACGTGAAAGTGCAAATTGAAGTAGTTTTCTGCTTTGAAATAGTTTTCTCTCTCATCAGTTCAGTGTGTGTACTGTGCTTTTTTCCTGGAACAGACAGCTGCAAAACCTTTAGATGGCCCTCCTCAGCAGCATGGATTTCTCTCTGTGACATACACGAAAGCTGTGACCAAAAATGTCCGCCACAAGTTAACGTCAAGAAATGAACGAAGAAGTTTTCATAAGTTGTCGGAAGGTTTAACTGATGGTTCCCCTCATTTCCTTCATGAGATTCTTCTCTCGTCACAAGCCTTTGATATTGTCCTTTGTTTTCCTTTACTTCATGCCATTGCGAGTATATTTCAAGCAAAGCTACCAAGGACCCAAAAAGAGAAGAGGCAGTCTCCTGGCCAGCCCATGCGAACCCATACACTGACTTCCCGAAATTTACCTTTGATTTATATCAACACAAGTGTCATCAGAATTTTTGTCCCCAAAGCAGAGGAAATACAACCTACGGTTGGAGGTATCTGTCTTCTGATTTTGTTGTTTATTTTAAATCCTCTTTTTTAGGAACCTTGCTTTCTGTTTGTTTCCTGGTTTTGTTTTTGAAATCTGGGCAGCTGGTTTAGGTTTCAGGTTGGTATATTTTTGGAAAGATTAAATATGCCACAGTTAATAATAAATCTCTGGAAGATCACATCAAGGGTTTGGGGTGGATAGCTGACTCCACTTGGAGACCTCATGCTCATTAATTATAATAGTTACTAGAGTTGAAAATTCAAGATTTTTTTTTCCTTTAGGATTTTTGCTAGTAAAGGTTATTACACTTTTTTCTCATTGGTTTTAGTAAACTCAATTCTTAGTAGATCTCTTTCTCTCTTTCTCACACACACATGTACACAAAATTTCTACAAGTTTAATATTTACCCAGTGATTATTGAAAGAGTGACTGTGGGTTAATGGTAATGTTTTGCTAATACTAGACCTCTTTCCTCCAAGCAACAGCTTTTTAGGTGTACTTTTTGGTGACACGGCATGGTCTGTCAGTGGTTCTCAACCTTCCTAATACCATGACCCTTTCATACAGTTTCTCATGTGGTGGTGACCCCCAACCATAAAATTATTTTCGTTGCTACTTCAACACTGTAATTTTGCTACTGTTATGAATCATAATGTAAATAACAATGAAGATGTATTTTCATTGTTACAAATTGAACATGATTAAACATAATTAAAGCACAGTGATTAATCACAAAACAATATGTAATTATATATTGTGAAATATTTGTGTGTTTTCCAATGGTCTTAGGTGACCCCTGTGAAAGGGTCGTTCGACCCCCAAAGGGGTCGCAACCCACAGGTTGAAAACCTTTGGTTTATGTGGAGAGTGAATACCTAACAAAAGGATTGCTTGATCAAATGTGTAGTGATACAGTCAAATTGCTTTCACAAATGGCTCCACCAATTTACATTGTTCTCTCACTTGTTACCAAACTGTGAGCTTTTATTCAGGCTCACTGGTGAAAAACCCACTATTTTTTTAATAAGTTATTAATCTTTTCTCTATCAGTCAATAAGAACTCATTACATATAAGCTTTTTGCCTGATATAAATATATTGTACACATCTTTTCAGTTTTAGTTTTTGTCTTCAGCCTTGTCCGTGTGTCACTGTATGCTTGGCCATGAGGGTATGGTAAAACATCTCTTTGTAGTATGAGAGGGTATGGTATAACATCTCTTGAAGGATGAGGGTATGGTATAACATCTCTTTGAAGGATGAGGGAGGGTATGGTATAACATCTCTTGAAGGGTGAGGGTATGGTATAACATCTCTTGAAGGGTGAGAGTATGGTATAACATCTCTTGAAGGATGAGGGTATGGTATAACATCTCTTTGTAGGATGAGGGTATGGTATAACACCTCTTGAAGGATTATGAACTTCTGGAAAATCCGCTTGTCCTTAAATATAACAGTGTATACAAAGGGTTGATGGATTTAGGTACATTGTTGCTTTGTGTTTGTTTAGTTGTTTTTTGTTTGTTTTTTTCCCTCTGTTGCTACTCTGGAGCCCTGCAGGTGGTAGTAGGTGACACATTGGGTCATTGAGTTTCTAGCCAAAAGTCATTAGTTCAAACCTACCAGGTGCTCTTTGGGCAAAAGATAAGGCTTTCTGCTCCCATAAAGATTTATGCCCTGCCTTATGGGGTTCCTATGACTTGGGATTGACTTGATGGCCATAGGCTAAAAGAAAAAAAACATTTTTTTTTAAATTTTTATTGCTAACTACCCTTACCCATGAGGGTAGAGAAGGTTTTTATTTCCTGAAGTAAAATTCAAATAATAGAACTCACTTTTTCAGCCACTTTAAAGTAAAAAAAATTTTTTAATATATTTATATGAAAAAAAGAATGTTTCCATATGAAGGTTATAATGTGACTAATCAAGAAAACGTAATCGAATCAGCCATAGCATTAGAAATAAATAGGATTACTCAAATAGCTAGTAATACAATCAAACGCATAGCATTCATTTTATTCTAGAAAGGCTTTTTAGAGGACCTTCCCAGAGTAATATTTTTATCCGTTCAATTGAACTAAAATGTGTGAGCTTTGTCCTGATGCATTTGATAGCACCACCACATTCTGCCTCAGGAGAAACTACAGTGATGCAATGATCCCTGAGCAATCTGTGCACCAGTTATAAATGAAATTCAACTTTCAAGTTTAACTTCTTAATATACCTAAAGGTCATTCGGCTACACGCTTACTTGAACCATCTTTCTGTCTTCAGCTGAAAATATTGCAATGATGAATTTCAACCTTTTGTTGATAGTTTTTTTAAGGGCAATCACTACAGTTAAAACTTTATGTAAATAGAGCATTACACAGTGATAAGTTCAAGTACTTTTGAAACTTTACATGTTTTATTTAACTTATATTAGACAATTGAGGACTCCAAAATACTGTTATTTCCAGAGTCTTATATTACATGTTACTACCACGGAAATTCTACTCTCTCTTCTGATGCAAGCTCATGGGTTCTGAGCTTTGTTTCGTAGCCTTTGCATTTCCATCCACACATGCACTTGCATGTATCTCTACCCACCCACCCTCATACGTATTCTACCACCGCTTGCAAAGATGACCCTTTTCAGCCATGTTTCACATTTTATTAACTATAAAACATGTCTAGAAGGCTGTTAATAATAAGAAAAATATAGGATTCTCATATTGTATTAGTCAGGGTACTTTAGAGAAACAAATCCACAACAACTCATGTATAAGAGAGTTTTATGTAAAGAAAGTGTGCATCACGAAAACATCCCAACCCAATGCTGCCCAAGCCCACAAGTCCAACATTAACCCATTAACCCAACACCAGCCCACAAAGTCCTCCACCTCAGAGGCAACGATGCCAACTGCAGGAGGAAAGCTGAGTCAGTGAACAAATAAGCATCTCAGCACTAGCAGGGGTCTCCACACGGCTGCTCCAGCACCCAGGGCTGCATCGGGATAGGTCCATGTGGCTTCTCCTTGGGGATGTCTTGTAGGAAGTCAGTCTTGCAAGCTGAAGCAGGGAACTGCTAAGGCAGCTGCACCCTGGTGCGACCATCACAAAACAAGAGACCTGAAAACTTGAAAGGCGACTGAGGCTCACCAAGCCATTTATCCCTCCGCCCTTCAATTAGCCCCACATGTGATTATCGGCCAGGTTGGCACAATAAACTAACTAACTCACATATATATTTTGGGAAGTGCTATAGAAATTCTGGTTTTCACCCTGAATATTGTTTGTATTACCAGCACTGATTATCAAGATTCTGAATCTACAGGTGTTTAACATCCTACTTTAACTCTTTTATTTACGAAAAAGGGAGTATTTCTTGGATTAAGTATGTCTCTTTTAGATGAGCTTAGTTTTTAAAAATACATTTGAAGCAAAGAAGGAAAACATTCATTTTCACATTGAAAATCCTTCTAGAGGGAACATTTCCTCATAGGGGCCAACTATTAAATGCAGGTGAAATAAACCAAAAAAAGGAAGCTTGTTTCTTTAAAGTATAAAGTAACTGGGGGGAACAAAATGACTCAAGGCACTTCCTTATATAAATACATATTTTTATTTTTCCCTATATACTTCAAAGATATATTTTGATAAGCTGAATACTTTATTTAATAATATTAATTATATCAATCTAGTTTGTGACTGGTCTGTTTTATGTGCTTTTTAAAAATATATAACTTCGTAGTCAGTATAATCTAGTGAGAACACTTTTGGCTCATACAGAAACAGAATTCTGTTCTTGGATCTGACTTTGTGTGTCACACCAAGTACGTCATTTTTCTTCCATATGTACCTCATTTACTGCAGTGTTTCTATTACATTTCAGACTTTCATATGTTGGGTACTATCTGTAGCCTGGAAGAACAGTTAGCAAGTACACTAATTGCACTTTTGTGGTATGGTCTATTCTCCAGACTTACTATTTATTGATTTAATTGATGCCTGCTGCTTAATCAGAGGATTTCCCACATGGAACTATTTGATAAGCTTGGCATAAAATGCAAGATCTGTGAAATGTAAACAGTGTTCATGGTCTGGCCTATAGTCATTTGAAAATAGCGCAGCTGCATGAGAAGCAATTTCCTATTTGATCTTCTTTGCTGTGGACATTTAAAAGTATTGTCTTTACTGTGGCATCCATATGCTAATATTTATTATAATAACTTGCCTCTCTCCCCCTTTTGCAATCCTCTCCTGACCCCACCCACCCATTCCTCCTTCATCCTGCGATTCCCAGCTCACTTTGTGGGCATCCTGTTCTGGCTCCTTCTTTCACGCACTGAATATCTTTCTTCTTACTTCTCCTGACGCTCTTAATTCTGACTTTCTTTTTGGGACTAATCTAAGTCAGACCATACCAAGTGTACTGCTGAAGCAGCTGGAAATAATCTCCTAGCTGTTGCATTCTTTGGGCACCAGAGTTTGGGAAATATGGCTTGTCTGCCTTTGCAGGCGTGTTCTGCTCAGGATATTTCTGAAGTTGTGCAGCTCAGTCCTTTATTCTGCTATTTAAAGAAATTATTCCGTTTACTTTATAGTTTATTTTAACCCCAGAAAGTTGCCTATTGTTAAAGTTTTAAAAAGTGTTTTCAACAATTATTGAACTGCTGTTCATAAGTTGAGAAGATGGAGGTTAAATTTAATATAAACTAACAGGGACTAATCAAAGACCCCTTTGCACTTCTATTTTCACTCCTTATAAAAGATTTTATATTAGCTGGTGAATTAGAGCAAAAAGCATTGATTGAACTTCATAATGTAAGAATGAATGGTTAAATTTTTAAGTCATTTTATTGACATAAAATCCACGTACCATACAATTAAACAGTTTAAATACAATTAAAATGCTGTCGTCTTCAGTACTGCGTTAGATTTGATACATATTTTTAGCTTTTACTGTTTTCTGAGATATTTCATCTTAGATTTGGACTTCTTAGGAAGTAAAATTTTCACCCAGGTGTGAGATTATTGTTGGTTTACTAATTTTACAGTAGACATTCGTGTCTAGAAACAATGTGTCTCTCCTTCTTGTGTAGTATCAAAGCAGTCACTCGAGGGTGTCCTGACAGTTCACATCTACGAGTGCTGTTCTATGCACATATCATCGTTCATTAGTATTTGTCATGTAAATTTTAAAGGCTTTTAGAATGAGGAGTATGACTGATCCTTTTTTATACCCTTTACTATATTTAGACTGCACTGGAACCTCAAGATGGAGGGCTGACAATCACTTGGGAAAAACAAAGATCTAGTTGTATGAGATTGTGACATTAAAGAAATTATACCTTCTAAAAACGGCATATATATATATATATATACACACACACACACACACACACATTCATGTTTTAATGTTGATTTTAGTTCCACCCCCCCATCATCATGACAGAAAATAATTTAATAGAATGTAAGAGAACTGGAGAATTGAGAACATTTTTGAATATTTTATTTGACACAGTTTTCCTGTTTTATTGGTCTCATGTTAATGTATCTCTGTCCCATTCCCTTAGAGAATTCTCCCTTTTAGCCATGAAGCTATGCCTTGATCTGAAATAGACATCATGAATCTCTCGCTTTTGTTAACAGTGAACCCAACAGCAAAAGAAGACTCTATGGTTTTAAAGATCGGCTCTGTGACCATGGCTCCCCAGGCTGACAATCCTCTTGGCAGATCAGTCCTCAGGAAAGATATTTACCAGTAAGTTTATTTTCTTATGTTCAGTCTTGCAGTAGTTTTTCTGAGGGGAAGAAAAAAAAAAGTACACTGATCAATAAAACTTGCATAGTGTGGCCTGTAGAAATACTTTTCATTCGGGACCTTTTGATATTTAAAACCAGGTTTTTCTGATTTTCTTCAGTTGTGGCTTTTAAAATTCATTCAGACAAATCAAGTATTTCTGTGAAGTGTTGATGAATAACAGAATGTAAGTACCCAAGTCACCATAAAACTGAAGAAGTGCAGTTTGGAAAATTTTAGCAGACTTTAAATTTGACCAAATCTCTAATCACTTAAGAAACTGAGGTCCTCTTTAGAACTACCACATCCTGCTGTCCTCAAGATGCGTATCAAAAGTGCAGGCGTTGCCTTAATTGAAGCCTAAGCCATTATTTGAAATGTAGGACTGTGGATGTCATATGGATCAAAGCTGTAATGCAAAGCAAGCTTCTAAGGAGAAATTTCACAGTAAACACTTTCTGCGAAAATGCTGTGTTCTGGATTTCGTCACTGACTATTGCAAACCACACCAAGCATACACGGACAACTAAACTGGTGAACACATGTAATCAACATGATAAAAATAATATATGCTTCGTACTGAAGTTGGCACTGCTGCCAGACATAAAAGGACAGTTGCAAATCATAACCAAGTGAGAAAAGTCACAGAAATACAAATTAACAAGTGTCTGATTTTTCCTCTGGTCTGTTTTTCAGATGTCACAGTGTCAGTATTTTAAAAACTCAATTCCTACTGTTTTCCAATGGATATTACTGCGAGGAATGGGTATTGATTTTCATAATGCATTTATCATCTGGGAGGTGGCTGCTAATTTTACTTTGATTAGGACTAGGGATTTTATTTTCTCTAGTTACTCCGGTTTAAGTCACTGTGCATACTCGAGTATAAGCCGATGTAAATATCAGCCAAGGCACCTAATTTTACCGCAAAAACAGCAAAAAATTGTTTTAAATACTCGGCTTATACACAAGTATGTACGGTTGTGTGTGTGTGTGTGTGTGTGTGTGTGTGTGTTTGTATAACAGTGTGATTTATATGTGTGTGTATGTATGTATATATGTGTGTGTATATGTATACACACACACACACACACACACACACACACACACATAACTGAGTTGTGTTATCATGGCTCCTGCCTTGCATTGTTGATATTTTTTCTCTGGTAGTTTATAGGTCATCTCTTAAGTGAATTTTAATTCAGCCAGTTTATATAAAATCTTAGAGTGTGAGAACTGAAGGCGTCCTTAGGAATTATCTAATCCAATATTCTTATTTTAAAGATGATAGATCAAACAAATGAGTTGTCTCTGGTCAAATAGTGGGAGAGCCAATTACTTAGGAACTTCCTACTCCCTGAGAATCTTTTAGTAGAACCTCCATTCTGGTGAACACACTTTTCATTTCCAGCATTGGAAATATAAATAGGTATATTTATCTTTGATCTTCAGCTTCAGAAATGAATGCTCCTCAAGGAAGGTACACCTTCACTTTCAGTGGAAGAAACCTGTTTTGCATGAAAACCAAATCCTGTCACATTCATAGTGCGACCCACTGGGACACTTCCTTACCTCTCACCCCTTTGCTTGTTGTGGCACTTGGACGGATTGTGTGCTGAGGGCTCCTTGAGGTATTTTGTCCCTCTGCCAGGTCTTCAGTCTTTTTACTGGTCTGCTCCCCAAATGGTTCCATGGTACTAGTGCCCTTAATGGTTTTCCTTGTGCTCAACCTTTTGGCTGGGTGACTCTCGCCACTTCTTTGATCTCATTCACCACCAGAGTGTTGATGACTGCACCCTTTGTTTCCTCTTCTCTCCTGATTCCCTGCTCTTCCCCAGTGCCTGCTGGGCAGCTTTTCCCAGTTTCCTCTGCCCTCCTTGCATGCCAGAAAGTGCAATCAGTCAATAAACAACCAAACCAATAAACAACCAAACTGCAGGCTTCCTTTCCCTACAGAATGGCCTGGCCTACTCTTCCAGTCCCGGAGCCAAACCTGGAGTGCTGTGTTTGAGATCTATTGTTCTGCTTCTGATTTATCTCTAACCTGTCACTTCATATTTGGCCTAAGGCAGTCCAGGATCTTAGTGTCTCCCCTCTACATTTTGCCAGTAACCCTTTAATAGTATTTGGCTCACAGTTAACATTCAATAAATATTTCAGGCATCTCCCTATCTCCTTATGAACCCCTGTCCACCTCATTTCTCATGAAGACCATAAGATTCTTCTGAAAGTTAAATCCAATCATGTCGCTCCCCAAATTCTTACTCTTGCTTACATAATCTTGCATGGTTTTCAAAAATCAATCACTTAAATATCTGGGATACACCCATGGTATCTTATGCCTCTGTTTCTCACTGGAAGTGTTTAAATTGTATTTGACCTTGAGTTCCCTGAGGATTGGCACTGTTTTGTTCATTTTCATCTCTGTGACCCATGCTCCCATGATCCTTTTCCCCAGGTTTGTAATTTGTTTATAGTTGCCCTGCACCTCAATTTACTCATATTTAGAAGGAAGATAATAACCTTAGAATATCCTTCCAAAAAGCTCACTACCATTGAGTCTATGAAAACTCATAGCGACCCCATAGTGCAGTGTAGCACTGTCTATGATTTTCTGAGTCTGTAACTCTTTGTGGGAGTCAGAAGCCCTTTCTCCCACAGAGTGGTTGGTTGTAAACTACTGGCCTTGAGGATCATAGCCCAAAGTGTAACCACTAACCACCAGGGCTCCTCAGGCTTCTCTGAAAGCACAGGACGTCTCTTTGGGTGGCTTGGGGCACGAGAAACGGAGACCCAGGGCAGTAGTAGCATCTAGTGTTACAAGAGTGGACTCTGGATCCACACGTCTTTGATTCCCACCTGTGCTCTGCCATGATTAGCTGGGTAACATCGGTTACTTATTCAACTTCTTTGTGCCTCGACTGCCATGCGAAAAGGAGTAATCATGGTGCCTAGCTACTTCATAGGGTTTTCATGACAATTAAATGAGCTAAATTCTCTATATATGGCGTACAGTAGGTGACAGATAAGAATTTGTTATTACATTATTTTATGATATCCTAGGCATGTATAACAACTTTGGGGGAACCTTGTTCTCGGTCTGGGATAATTAACTCAACCTAATTGTTTACCCTTAAAAAGCGAAGTCCAAGAGTCATTTCTATAAGAAAGTAACAAAAGATATTTGCATAATCAGCCCCTGTTGAGTCAATTCCAACTCCGCAGAGCTGCCTCATAGGGTTTCCAGAGGTACAAGCTTTACAGCAGCTGACGGCCATACCTTTAACCCATAGAGTTGCCGGTGGGTTCAAAACACCGCCTTTCCGTTAACAGTTGAAAGCGTTAACCAGTTGTCCCACCAGGGCTTCTGCAGTATCCACTTAGGAGTTTATAAACCATATTTCAATGTCTCTGAAGTATTGTATCCTGAACATCAAAGGAAAAATGGCAGAAGTGAAACCACATTGGAATGAAGCAATCATATTTTCCAAAATATTCCTATAAAAAGTAAATGATTACATAATTCCTAAAAGTAAGGAATTTTCACTCCAAGCTAAAGTAGCAAGGAAGCAGCAATATTATGCAATACATTGTTAAGAGCTACATGAAAGATAGATGACTGAGTTTTCTGGAGAAACAAAACCAGTGACACATATGTATAAGAAATAACTATGTGAAGAAAGAAATTCCTATCAAGGAAGAAGTAGCCCAGGCCAGCTTAATTCAAGTCCTTGGATCAGATGGTGGCTGGAGCCCCTTCAGACTCATGCAGCTGCCAATTGATGAAGCAGGCATGCAGAGCAGGAAGCTGGGAGATCCCAGGCTGGCACAGAGTTGGGTGGATCCACGTCGGCCTTTGTGGTACAGAGGACTTTGTCAAGAAAATGAGAAGGCAGCCCACAAAATGGGGGAACAGATGTACAAGTAAGTGAATTTTATATTGACTATATAAAGAACTCACCTAATTCAATAATAAGACAACCCAAATGAAAAGTGGTCAAATAGCTTTAAATATATTATCTAAAGAAGTGCAAGGATGTTACTTTGGAGACTAAGGTGGGCCACGGGCTTTTCAGTTGTCTAATAGGCATGCGAAAGTTGGTCATCCAATAAAGAAGACCAAAGAAGAATCGATGTCTTTGAATTATGTTGCTGTCGAAGAATATTGAAAGTACCATGGACTGTCTACAGAACAAATCTGTTGTGGAAGAAGTACAGCCAGAATGCTTCTTAGAGGCATTGAGACTTCATCTCAAGCATTTTGGACGTGTTCTCAGTAGAGACCGGTCCCAAGAGAAGGACGTTGTGCTTGGTAAGGTCGAGCGGCAGTGAAAAAGAGGAAGGTGGGTTGACCCGTGGCTGCACTGATGGGCTCAAACACAGGAACAGTGGTGAGGATGGCACAGGACCGGGCAGGGCTTCTTTCTATTGTATATGAGGTCACTATGAATCAAGATTGACCTGGTGGCACTGAACAACAAAAAAGAAATTATAAAAATGACAATGTGTTCATATAAGGATGCTGCCCAACATTGTCTAGGGACGTGAAAACCAAAGGCACAAAAAGGCAACACTTCACACACACTAGGGTAGCCACAGTGCAGGCAATAAGAACTGCTGGTGCAGGTTTTGAGAAAGTGAAACACTCGTACTTTACTGGCAGGAACGTAAAATGCAGCCACTGGGGGAACACAGCTCCTCAGAAAAATAAACATAGATACACCATATGACCCAGTAGTCCTGCTCTGAGATACATGTCTAAGAGAGTCAAAGCTTGTGTCTCCTCAAAAATGTGCACTCAAGTGCTTACGGCTATTGTGATAGTCACAAAATGGAAACAACCCAAAGCTCTGTCTACTGAGGGATTGATAAAATTCAGATTATCCATACAAGAGACTATTATTCTATCATAAAAAGGAATGAAGTATTGATATGTGCAGTAAGCTTAGAAGCATTATGCC